AAAAAAAAAAAAAAAAAAAAAAAAATTTCTTGTATATATGGCAAATGCTAGGTATTGGGGCTATAATAGATACAGGAAATACAGCTCCTTCCAGTTGTGGAGCTTACACCCTAATTGGGCAAGTGATGAGTTCTATGAGAAGAAAATATCAAGAATCTAATTTAGATTGGAGAGAAATTCAAAGAAACTATCTTATTAGTAAAGAAACTGAGGTTTGTGAAAGGTAAACAGACTTTCTTAAAGCTTCACAACTTTGCAAGTAAATATTAGGGCTGGAATCCAAACCCGTATTTCTAGCACTAAAGCCCATGCTTTTGCATACTGTTATGCAGCCTACCTAAAGACAGGTAAGTGCCACAAGTCGTAGGGGGCAGGATGGTGTTAAAGAAGGACCATTGAACTGGATAATCAGGAGAAAGGACATGGGTATCAAATACTTAATACTGGTAACTTCCTGTGTGACCTCAGGAAGGTCACAGCCATTCTGAGCCAGTGTAAAGAGAAGGATTTGGTCAAGATCCTTGGAGCCTGAAGAGAGTACTGGGGGTGGGTTAGGAATTGAGTTATCCACAGGAGCACACATGACTGGCGTGAGACAACAGTGAACAGATATGGAGTGGTCACAGAATGCTCACCTGGTTTCTGTTTGTTTTTACAGAGATTATGCTGAATCTGTGGGACGGAAGGTACGAGACCTAGGCATGGTAGTGGACTTGATCTTCCTCAACACAGAGGTGTCATTGTCACAAGCCTTGGAGGATGTTAGCAGGGGAGGGTCCCCTTTTGCTATAGTCATCACTCAGCAACACCAGATTCACCGCTCCTGTACAGTCAACATCATGTTTGGAACCCCACAAGGTACGGAGGCCCAAGTGGGTCAAAATCCTAGAGCTAGTCACTAATCCATTGCTAGTCTTCTATGCCTTATTCATAAAAAGCAGGTTTTGGGGCAAATGACTCATGTATCTCAGCTCAGATGTAGTAGGTTCCTCTCTGAATACATTGGAGGAGAATTGCATAGTCATTAGTTTAGGAATAGTGATATTCCCTCAGTGGATAAGGTTCTGGGCCTGCTATCCTTAACATATACTTAGCCATTAGGTATATACAGTGGTGTGCTGGCAAATGTTTAACAACCAGTTTGGGGGTAGGGGAGTGGTTTATAGCATTTGCTGATTTCCATGGTGTAAATACTCCCACCAAGTTCCATTTCAAGCACCAACATGAAGTCACTGAAGGGAGAGTTGGAAAGAAATGCACACAAAGCCGGGCTCGGTGGCTCAGCCTGTAATCCCGCGCCTTTGGGAGGCTGAGGTG